CCCGGGCCCCTTTTTTAAAATAACATTCGCGTGGTGCATTTCATTCATCCCCCTCTACCCCTTTCCCCCTTCCCCTGAAGAGTGACCCGAGTCCCTCCGCCGTTTCATTCGTTTGTTTGTATACGGCCATGTTTTTCCATCCACTCATCCGTCCCGTCTTGGCCCTTTCTTCTGTTTTTCTTATTCACTTTTTTACATCGCAACAGAGTCAGTTTCAATTCTTTGGCGCTTTCGCCTCGAGTTTTTTTTCGTTCATTGAGTCCTTTTTCTTGCTCGCCAGTGGCCGGTTTATCCGCATTATCCGCAGCCGGCACTGACGTAGTTTTCTTGCAATTTTGCTACTGCTATGGAATTCTTGCATCTATTTTGATGCCGCTTGTCGAGGAAAGCCTCTCTCTCCCTCTCCGCATATGAAGACGATGGTTTTCCCCTGTCCTTAGACTACCTTTGGCGCTGTACATATACAAACACTTTCTGCTATCTTCGGTGAGAGTCACATTCGAACGAAGGTAGCTGCATTTGTTGGGCCCAACAGAGCTCAACCAAAGAGGCGTGTTTCGTACTTTCTTGATTTGGCGAGTTTGCGACCGTCTCTCATTGGGACGACAGTTCGAACGTCGTTGCCGACAGTGACCGTCGTGTGTTCCACAGCAGAGCGAGAGCAAGGACGGTGACTTGTGCGTGAACGCACTTAATGTAGTAGTAGTAGTAGTAGTAGTAGTAGTAGTAGTAGTAGTAGTAGTAGTAGTAGTAGTAGTAGTAGTAGTAGTAGTAGTAGTAGTAGTAGTAGTAGTAGTAGTAGTAGTAGTAGTAGTAGTAGTAGTAGTAGTAGTAGTAGTAGTAGTATTAGTAGTAGTAGCAGCAGTAGTAGTGGTGATGGTGGTAGTAGTAGTAGCAGCAGCAGCAGCAGTAGTAGTGGTGGTGGTAGTAGTAGACTTGCGAAGCGCTCACCACACTCCCTCCTCCACCACTTGTGTCCGGTGTCAAGATAGAGTTAGCAAGATCGGAAGCGGGAAAGGGTTCAGGTGGTTGGCACGACGCAAACCCTACCTCTTGGTCCACGACGGATGCTGACCAGGATTTTGTACATAAGAAAAATGTGGGGGTGGCTCGGATTCCAGTTGGTTAGCGTGGCGTGAGTCTGCAGCTGGGCCTGTCACCATACTCCGAATGTTGACATTTGTTATGGCCGCGCATTCCCCATAACGCGTGCCGGACTGCGATCTAGTCTCCACGTTGATCCAGCACATCTACCGCGTGTCCCGTCTTAGACGTGCACTACTTGGAACACAACACCCACCACCATCAGCTCCCAAGGATGAACCGGCGCGGAGCCTTAGTCTGTATTTATAAGCTTCGGGCTCAGGCCAGACGGGAAGAACTTTATCGCTAAAAGTCCAGAACATACTGGTTAGTGATTATAATTAGGAAGGGATTGTCAGCGCCTGCCTCCTTTTTGGCAGCCTAGGAGCACTCTGTCCACTGAGTCAGAGGTGGCTGTGGGAATCTGACCGGATCCGAATCAGATTTATACTGTGAGAATTAGTCGGTGGTAGTACACTTCTCGATAGTTCAGCTCGTAGAACGCCAGGCTTTTAGTCAGAGAACCGGGAGCTCGGGTCCCTGTTCTGGTGGTTTCCCTGCAAAGTCAGAAACTACGCCGAGTTGGCTTGACTCATTCAGGCTACTGGGGACGTGGGAAGGGCAGATGGGTCCACCGCTCATCTTTCTTATCATCTTATCAAGCGCACTAACAGTTGTAATTTAGAGGCATGCAAACTGGTGAGGTAGGGGGGCCCCACTAATGATTATGAGTCAGGCCGCTGCAGTAGCCCCTATCTAATGTGGCATTAACTCGCCCGCCTTGCTTTCACGCCCGGCTCCTTTGGCGTTTTTAGGTACCGGATCGTGTGTGGCAGGCAAACCGGCCCACCTAGTTTTGACTGTGTTCAGTCTTTGTCCTTGGGACAGGGAGTTTGCTGGAGGAGCGCTTTGGGTGTTCGCAAGTCTGACTTGCTGAAAATACGTTCACGCGTAAGTACCCTCCTTGGGGAGGAGGGGGGGGGCGAAGTGGCGAGAACGTATGTGATGGTCGAAACGCCGCGTGGTATCACACTCCTATGAAGCCACTCTGACGCGTCACCCCTGCTAGAACACGTTCACTGTCCTCTTGAAACCTGTAGGCAGCCACGCGCATTCACCGCCTTGCTGCCAGTGGTAAAGCTGCTCTTCGGTGGCCCCTACGCGCCTCTGGGCCGTTCTGGTCTCTGATTTCTTCCAGAACTCGCAACGCGTTGCGTTGATAAAGACTGTCCTTGCAGTCGTGTCCCCTTTACGTCGTTTAATGCGTATTACTCTACTTCCCATCAGCACAATTGCGTTTAAAATACCCCTGGTTTGGCCACATGCCTCCTTGTGTGACTTGAGAAGTGTCCTCCGGGCGACCAAATTGGTTTTGCAAGGTGGATACCGGTCGAGACTGACGTCCTAGGGACTGGCTTTTCATCGTATTGCCTTTTCTGTGCAAACATGAAGTCTGTGTCGAAGCCAAGTGCGATTTCGCCTTGCACTAAAGCTGTGATAGGCCCACTTGTTGGCGTTGGCTCAGTCCCACAATTCACCAGATGTACGTGTTAATTAAAGGCCAATTCGACTCAGATTAGTTGCCAGCCTTCATTCGCGGCATGGAATGTGACAATAGCTCCCGAATCATGTGGACCATGTAGGCAGTGAAACGAGCAATATGAATTCAGGAACATCAGGTTTCGCTGGATAACAATCACCAACTAGCGCTAGTCCCCGCTTAAGCTATGGCTGCTGCTACTACCTTCAAACAAGGTCTCCAGTAGGAAGAGGAGACGTTAGACGCTAATTGGCAGAGAGAGAGCATGAGAGTGGTTAGCTGGGGGTGAGGTGCATGTACAGCCATGTCGGAGCACGTCGGTCAGGGCGCCTTGGGCTATGACGTCCGCGTCAAGCTTGGAGTCGATTGGTCGGTTTCCATAGCTTTGATTAGCCGAAGGCTGCTGTTGCCGCGTACACGCCAGACGCTGGCGTCCAGAGTAAGACAATGCGATCGCCTGGAGCGAAGGCAAACTGAGGACTCCGGTGACAGCTCTGATAAAGCTGCGCAGTGAGGTTAGAAATTTTTCGAGTCTCAGGTAATAGACTGGGGCACTTTTTGAGGGGAAGTAATCATCATTTTATGAGGATATGCACCCATAAATAAGTACTTGTAGGGACGAATACGCAGGTCCTAGTTTATCATTCAAAGGTTTGCCGGGACGTCCATTGTACTAGGGTTAGGTTTAAGACCATGCTGCTCTTTGTAGTCCCTCACCGACCGCCGGCTGCATGCGCCCTTGGTGGGAGACGGGATCCGCAACTTAACAGTGATTGCGCATTGCTTGGTATGCAGGAGGATGCTGACATGTCGGCATGTGGAGTGGTTATCGGTGGTTTCAACTTTCATATGGGAGCTACCCTGCGCAAAATTCGTGCGAACCAACGGCCTACTGGGTGTAGGTGGGCAATCTGATGCATTTTATCGGATTCTGTAGGGAGATTTTCCCTGTCAGCAGACGGGACAGATCGCAAGAAGGTTCTTTGTTCACAGATGAGACCCGCTGCGTCATGCTGGTGTCCACAGCCTGACGACTGACCACGAAGTAGACTTCACGGGTACACATACAGGGGCTCAGGTCAATCAAAAAACTAATCAGTATCTACCAAACGACAGAATTAAGCTAAATGCGCATCTAACCGGCGAGCGGTCGACACTTGCAAAGGCTTCGCTCCCTCACGGACCCGGAAGCTCGGGCAAATATGACTGCTCCAACGATAGATATCCTCCTGCCTTTTTAATGAACATTTATTTTACCTTTCTGTACTTTTTCCAAGAAAATTCCACCTCCTTTTATTAGAGTGCTGTCTCACGCATATAATTGGGCCTTATATTGTCCCCTAGCGTCTGCAGTTGGCAGTATCTTTTTTCAGAAATTCCAGGCATCCTAGCTTTATTTTGCCCTCAATGTTGTTAAAAATAACCCAAGCAGCGATTTCCCCACTTTGATGTACGAGGGACGGGTAATATGCACTCTCACATCGATGAGAGCTTGGCGGGAAGAGGTTGTAAACAACAGTCCGCGGACGAGGCAGTTCGTGGTAAAGTACAGGCAGCCGATGTTTGCACGGTTTTAGCTCCTTCCTCCTCATTTCATCGGCGCTAAACAGACTGCACGCACCCAAACACGCGCGCACACAAACATATGTACATAAAAATCCTCGTCGTGTGGGCATCGCTCTGCGCTGCGATCGGTGCCCAGCCTCTGCTTTCTTCAGGATCTCCGACTTCTTTGGCCTTCACCTCCTGCCATTGTGTCAGTACGTATTCAGGTAGGACTGACTTATGCGGCCCCCTAAACAGGACATGGGAATAGGGACCGCCTGGAATGCGGGTGGCTGCGGTCCAATTTCCAGTTAAGTTAGGGTTGCGTTTAAGGATTAGGTTTAAGGCTAGACTTAAAGTTGAAGATAAGGTAGGTCAGGCTCAAGTTTAGGGTTAAGGTGGAGGCTAATGTTAACTGTAAAGTCAAGACTTGGGGTCTTGTGTCGACAGTCTGGCGCCTTAGCTCCAGGAGGTTATTGAACGAGCGTGGAGAGACGAGGTTGTTCCTGATGACTGGGGCTTAGGCATCCTTGTACCTATCCTCAAGAAGGGAGATAAGACGAGGCGCGAGAACTACCGCGGCATAAGTCTCATCGACGTTGCTGCAAAGATCTTCGCTATTGTCCTACTCAGGCGATTCCAGGCACTGCGTGACTCAAGGACGAGGCCCAACCAGGCCGGATTTCGTGCTGGACGTGGATGCGCAGACCAGATATTCACACTAAGACGCATTTTCGAATTTCGCCATAGTTACCAACAACCGACGGCCGTCTGCTGCATTGACTTTGCTGCCGCGTTCGATTCCGTTCATCGTGAGTCCCTGTGGCGGATAATGTCGCTAGACGGTGTACCGGCAAAAATCATCGTCATGATCGAGGTCTATTATCGCCCCACTACTGCAAGAGTTCTGGTCCACAACAATCTTTCCCAACCGTTCGTTATTCGGTCTGGCGTTCGACAGGGTTTTATTCTGTCATCCATTCTGTTCAACTATGCTATTGACCGGATCCTCGGGAGGGCCCTACGCGAGGGTGACGGTCTTGAGTTTGCACCCGGACACCGACTGACTGATCTGGTCTCTGCTGATGATATCGCCCTACTTGCTTCAAGTTTTGGTGATCGGCAGTCTATGGTGTCACGGAAGAACGAGGTCGCTAAATCGGTCGGCTTATTCATAAACACTGGGAAGATCAAAGCGTTTTCAAACTGCATCTTTGATCAGGAGAAGGCACCCCTGGTGATTGATGGCTGTCAACTTGAAGAAGCAGACAGTTTTAAATACCTCGGGGGGAGGCTGCTGCCTAATAGACAGAGTAAGGACGACATTGTCTCTCGAACTGATGCTGCCCGCTGGGTTTTCTCAAGCCTACGGAAATGCCTGTGGATCCGACGTGACCTCTCCATCGCCACTAAGATTCGCGTATATCGTACATTTGTCCGGTCTGTCCTTCTCTACGGTTGTGAATGGTTGGCTTAACGCGTGGAGGACGAGTGAAAACGGGAGGTATTTGGCTACCACTGCTTGAGGGCCATCCTTCGAGTGACGTTCACCGACTTCGTATCAAGTGAGACAGTCCGCGCTCGCTGCGACAACATCACATGGATAATTCAGCCCAGCCAAGAAAGACGACTGAGGTGGCTTGGGCATGTTCTTCGTTGTCCACCTCAGGAGCTCAGTGTTACTGCGCTCGATCCGACACCGTTGTGCCAGTGGAGGCGTCGACTAGGGGGTCAGTTCAAAACCTGGCTCGACACAGTTCGTCAGGACGTGGAGGGGGTTCTTCGACCTTCGGTATTCGGTCTTCGTCGTTGATGAACGGAATGTGTTGAGCTGTCCAAATCTGCTGCCGTGGATCGTCACGCGTGGAGAGGTGCAGTTCGGAACATTATCGAGGCCGGCTAGATCAGGCATGATCGCAGCCTTATCAAGCACAAGTACAAGGGTTATGGTCAAGATTAGGGCGACGGTCTAGTTTTATATTAGAGTTTTTATTGGGGTTAGGACACGGGAATATTTTGCCCTATCTATAATTATACGCAGGTCCACCTTCATTACTTGGGAGAGGCGTCCCTATTCCGATTTCCTATTTAGGGGCCAAATATGTCAGTCCTACCTGTGTCGAACCTACTGTGCTGCCTGCCGTTGAGACAAGGGGAAGTGGAGTGGTTACTTTTCTCGTCTAACGATCACAACGCAACCCCAGAGCAGAAGAACCCCGGACTTGAATCTGTACTCTCTGATCACAGAGCATGCAAGTCACGTTCCCCGGTCGAGTTACCAACCCTCCACTCTGTCGCTTGTGAGTGAGATTCTTCAGCAGCATGCACATGGGTCGCGCCGATCTATTGTACTTTGAGTGTTTGAGAAATAGTTGCCCTAAATCTAACCCCTACCCCGACAGTATTGTCCATCAGGTGGGGCTGCATAACCACGTCTTACCGTCAGTCTAGAGTCCTCGAAGACAGCCACGTAACGACCTGTGAAGGGGACATCTAGAAAGACGAGGGGGAATGGATGGCCATCACTGGCTTTGTAGCCGTCGTCAGTCAATCATACCCAACAACAGGTCTTGATCATCTGCGATTCGGACCCGACGCCAGAAATGGTCATCGCATTCTCGCGTGTTTTTACATCTATCCCTCCTCTCTTAATATATGTCTGAACTGCTCTGGTTCGCGTCGCTGGATCGCCGATCCAATAACATATGGCAGGTTTGACAGATTTCACAATCCTGTGCTGATTTCCTACAAAATAGTTTTGTGATGTTCCGGCAATACCAGACTTTTGACAAAGTTTTCCAGCATACAGAACAGTCCGCACCGCAATGAAAATAGCCCGCGCTTATATGCCAGGCGACCAAACTAATAATGGACGCTAAGTAAAATTCAACTGATCAGTTCTGGGTATTTTGGAAGTTGCGTACTTCGCAGCACATGCTTAAAGAAAGAATGTGCACTCTTGAGCGCAAAGTTATTCTTTCTCTTTTAGAGGTAATTTTTCAGGTCAGTAGCTATCGTAGACCACACCTACGTCTTGATGCATGATTTTCTTGCAGAGGACATTCTTGCATATGATTTACCAAAACAAGCATCGGCAGTTTGACATTTGATTCTCCGTTTGCGTACAAAAAATAAGACGAGATTTAAGATGTTACTTTACTTTCAGAAGAACGGGTGCATTTTCTTCCCTAACAGTTCTGTTCCGTAAATATGCGCAATTTTTGGTTCTAAAATATAATAATAAATGTGACATTATCTTTCTAAAAAGCCAAACTGGCAAACACACGATTTCAGTAATTCTCCAATTGGCTGGCACAACTGCATGGAGAATTAAAATGAGTATTGGGCAAGGTTTATAAGCGAGGAGTATGATGTTTATAAACCCTGTCCATGACTCGTATTTTTTGTTTCGATGTAATTTTATTGGCCTGGTGATGAATTGCTGAAAAGGCCTGTTTACCAACTCAACTTTGCGGACGTAACATGGGAAGATCCCCAGCTATTAAGTAATATTTTGTTTTACCTGCCTATCTTAATTATGGTGAATGTGTCGTCCATGCACGGGCGCCATAGCACAGGTTTATAGTGGCTTTCACGATCTGCTTAACAGTATCTCCCCCGACATCCAGTTCACAAGAGAAGTAGAGAATGCCGGACGACTACCCTTCCTTGACGTGCTTGTCACGCGTAGACACGGTGGCGAACTTAAAACCACAGTGCGCAGAAAGGCGACCAGCACAACTCAGATCCTCAGCTATAACAGCAACCGACAGTCCTACCGTCCGACGATGTCCACCGCGTGCTCCACGCCAGTCTGAGGGCAGGCAAAGCGACTCGCATGTGAATTAGTTTCTAGTGGGAGAAGACTTGCGCAGCATCTATCGCACTCCCTCCTTCCCCTCGCCTGGACACGGTGCCAAGACAAAATCAAGAAGACCGTCGGCGGGAGAGGGTGCAGGTGGTTGGTAAAGATGGACCGGTTCGTAGGCTTACCACCACACCCCCTGGTCCACAACAAACAAACACCTGACCAGGATCTTAACCGGCAACAAAAATAGACGGTTTAGGAAGAGGAGGATGACTACGCAACCATGTACACGACCTGTATACCCATAAGCAGTGCTAGTGCATCTACCTGCATGGAGCCAGGCGCTAGAGAACTGCCAGCGCACACCAGGCTGGGAGAGCCATGGTTTTTTGAATCATGGCAGAAGGTTGACACGCAGCCCTGCAATCAGCCATCAACTTTCAAAGGCCGAGTAACCAGTCAGTCATCAACTAAGAGGGACTACCGGTATACACACACACATTCCTCAAATGCGTGAGAGTGCCAGAGGTCACGTTGAAAAAGAGCCGTGCAGTGTGACTCTGTGCCCATCAGTCCGCCACTCCACGCAAACACGCACAAATGGGCTGACTGCGTGGGCTGATTTGAGGCGTCAGTCAGCAGCCTTTCAAGTCACGGCGCTTAGGTGCATCGTGAATGTCTCAGCAGACGGGTTTCATGGAGGAGGGACCGAGGAGCGCACTTCCCGCTTGCGTGGCGGCTGGCAACTGAGTCTTTGCGCTGTGTGATGATAAGTGATGATGTTGTGTTGTGCAGGTGCTTGTTGCGGAAGGTATGATGGTATGGTCTAGCCGGCGGTTTTCTTCCGCGGGTTATCATGAATACACATGTGGCCCGATAGGGCTGTGCGGGAACAGTGATGGCAGTTGAGGCGGATATGGTGAGTGTGGGCCGGTGCTCCAGGCTCTGGTTCGCCAGCCTCTGTGCAGTGGATTGGCAAATGACCGACCAGGATGATGTGTGAGGTGAATGCGCGGTCGCAATTAGGGCAGGTTGCGACCGAGTCCACATTGCCGGAGGTGGGGATGCTGGCAGTGTTGGCGGCAGGTGATGGGATGTCGGACAATGTCCCACCGGTGGCGGAAGTGGTGTTGGCGGCGCTGGTCGCTTTGGTGGACGCAGGGGTTAGGCAGGGCGGATGATATCGGTGGTCAATGGCGGCGGGGCAGCGACAGTGTAATCGGCGGTGACTGGGATGGTCGTCTTCGCAGTGTCTGAGGCAGGAGCGAAAGTGGGAGAAGAAGTAGACATTGTCGGGCTGTTAGCGCATCGCGCCCGAAGGTGTCCTACAAGGCCGATTCGCGTGTGAAATGCGCGGTGGCAGCACGGGTATGTCGGAAGCTGCTAACTGATGTCATTGAGGAAGCGGGGTACTTGTGACGTCCGAGTCTCCTGTTTGACTTTGGCGGCGGCGATCCGATTTGCTTTGTAGGTAGCTTTGCTCGTCTTTACTTCTCTTCGACATGTCGGTCTGTTCTGCGTTAGGCACTCCCGGATCGCAGGGTTGATCTGCAAACGCTTGAGCCAGTTCTTCAGAGTGTCCTTGTGGCTCTATTTTTGTCCTTCTTGTCGACGAGTACCCATGGCAACATCATCATAGAAGCCTTGTTTCAGTGGACGTGTATCTTTCCTCCTCACGAATGGCCGCTCCAACGTAGTTGCCGTTGTATGAACATGGCGTGAATGCTGAGAGCCCCCCTCCGTTCTAGGAATTCCGTGTCGGGGACCCTGCCTTCTCATCTCAGCTCTAGTATTTTGCGAAGGCAGCTGAGATGGATGTGGTTGAGCTTCTCGGCATGGCTGGAGTAGACGGTTCAGGTCTCCGCTCCGTATTGAAGTGTCTTCGAGACGACAGCCCTGTAATCTTCAGTTTGATATTCATTAAGAGGCCACGCGGTATTCTGCAGCCGGCCGAAGGTCTGGCTGGCTGTGGAGATCCGCTGGGCCACTGCATCATCGACTCTTCTGCGGCAAGAAAGCGCGCTTCCTAGTTAAGCGAAGTTGCCCAGGATTTTGAATTGGCTGCCGTCAACATGGATTTGAGGAGTAACGCTGTGTTGCATGTTTTGTGACGATTGTTGCTTGACCACCGTTTTGTCCGTGTTGATGGTCAGTCCGAAGTTGGCTCAGTCGGCGGCGAGGAACTCCGTGGTGTTGAGCGCCCAGTCGCCGAGGGAGAGCAGGTCGTGATTAACGGTCGTAGACATTCGTGATGAAGCTTGCATGCGCCTGCTGTTGAGAAGATGCCTGTCAGTTCTGTGGACGATGCGTATCCTGGAGCGCTCAGCACGGTAGGCGTCCATCAGCATGGTAAGGAACATGAGGCTGAGGAGGATAGGAACGATACGCAGCCCTCTTTCACTCCATTGGTCACTGCGAATGCCTCGAAAAGTGCGCCGCTGTCGGTGGCGCGTGATACCAGCCATTCGTGGAGCTGACATGCCATGTGCGCAAATCGTTCAGGCCAGCCAAATTTCTGCAAGGTTTTTCACAGTCCTTCGCGATTCACCGCACCGATGGCTTTTGTTAGGTCTACGAAGGCGGTGTAGAGGTGGGTTCGCATCTCCTGGCACTTATTCTGTAGCTGCCGAGCGGCAAACACAGCGTCGGTGGTGCCCCAGTGTCGTCGGAAGCCACACTGAGTTTCCGCCAGAAGTCCTTGCTCGAGGTGTCTATTGAGGTGATTAAGGACGATTAGATTAAAGATGGGTTTGATCGCAGTTCGTAGCCAGGAATGGGGAGGCGGACAGCCAGGTCCCTGTCGTACGGGAATGGTGGGAAGTGGGGTTATATGGGTGGGATAAATGGAAGGGTTGGTAAAGGAATACTGGAGCTTCTGGGTAAAAGTAAAGTTACCAGAGAAAGTACAGGGCAGTTTTAAGTACGTGGAATAATGGCAGAAATTTAAACCCTACGCTTAACCCTAAAACCCGACCCTAAGCGCAACGGTAAACTCTAACCTTAAGCCTCGAAACCGAAAAGTAACCAAAATCCTAAAAACCAACGTTAACCCAAAACCTAGCCATTATCCTAACCCTAACCTTAACCGTAACCCTAAGGGGAACCTAAACCCTAGCCCTGACACTGGAACCTGACTCTAAAACGCAAACCTTAATCCTAAAACTTAACCTACGCCTAACCCTAACCCTTACTAAACCCAACAGCCTGACCGAAACGGGCCACCTGCCTAACTCAGTAAGAGCACACCTACTGATAACAAGTTTCCTAGACAAGGTAAGCACACCTACTGATAACAAGTACGTACGTCGACAGTGTCAACGTATAATGTCCGGCTACCAACTGCGATCTTACCTAAAGATGTTCCCGGCGATGTTGAGTAGTGAGATGCCACTGCGATTGTCACAGTGACTGGCACACCTACTCTATCTACTAGAAAACCACACGGGCGAACGCTGGCGGATCCACTGTTGAGCCGAATCCCTCGCAGTCGCGTTGTCCAGCGGCATAATATCGAGGAAACACGCGTGTCTGGGTTTTTATCTAGTACCTGTGCCACCGTGCTACCAAAGCCACATTCTTCCGATGTCGTAACCGCCTGCACGAGGGGCTGGAGGTGCAAAATGCATGAGTGTCCTGCAACGTCGAAGAAATCCAGGGATATGCAGGCAGAAGGGCGAGATCGAAAACTTCTTCGTGAACACCAGAACAGTCTACATGCTCTCACACCTCAGGCAGTGTGGCCCCACTGTCGCAGATTTTGGGACGTTGATCCGAACACTGTTGGGCGTTTTCATTCGCCAATTTGCATTCAACGAGGAAGTCATCAGCCGGCTACCCCAGGCGGACCTCGAACGCCCCCCTCCCCGAATGGAACACCAAAAGAAATTTTCGAACGGAGAAGTGCCGGAGGTTGACTCACCTCCAGTCAGCACCTTTAAATACGGTGACCCTCTACTCATGGACCAGTTCATCTCACTGATCCAGCATGTGTGGAGACAAAGAAAACCTCTGCAAGATTTCAACGGCGCAACAACTGGCCATCAATGCAAAGGCAATAGGATCGGACACGTCTGCGCAGCCACTGCTGCAGGTCTCTCTTCAGCATTGGATACATTTCTGAAGCGGGATCTCTTCCAGAAACGCCATGTGGATTCCCGAAAAGTTATGAAGCCACCAACATGATCTTTGCGGCCGAACAACTGCAAGAAAGCTGCAGAAGAATGCGATGCAACGTCTGGGCCACTTTCTTAGCTCTTACAGGGGCCGTTGATACAGTTAACCGCGATGGCCTAGTGTGGATCATGCCAAAGTCCGAGTGGAGAGGACAACCGATAGAGCCGATCGGTTGGCAGCATGAGGTGGTGATGACGCGTGTCAGTCTTGGAAGTTTTTACAGTGTCGGATGGAATGAAATATAGTCCTGTACTCGCTTCCGGCCTTGGTAGTCTCATATTTTCCGCCATGTTGATGGGTGCATCTCGTGGGAGTGGTTCTGAATCGACACCAGCTGCCAAAACGTCAGGCAAGTACACAATATCCGGAGCGTCCAAGGCCAGTGTCTTCATCACCATATTTGCTGATAACTGCGCGTTGAACGTATTGAAGGCGGAAGTGCAGCTGAGTGAGGAGCTTATTGTCTCTGGTTGCCCACCGTTTGAACTGAACATTAGCACGGAGAAAGTAATAATCCAATGCCTACTGGATCCAAATTACAATCACAACCAACCCTGACCAAGTGCCAGTGGAACTCGTCGCAGAGCTGCGGGCAACTTCGTCTACCCGGGGATTATTTTCTCAGGAATCATCAAGGTCGCAGACGAAATCGCAAGTCAGATGTCCAAAATGAGCTAGGCCTTCTATGGACTATGAAGTAACCTCAGCATCCTCTGTCACACGAAAGTGAGAATAGTCGGCCTAAATATGGTCTTCTAGGGGTCGGATACGTGGACAATGTGCTAATGCTAGGCAGGAACATTACATCACTTTTATGCTAACTGCTTCTGGATAATATTCCGGGCGAACTAGGAAGAGATAATCCCGGACAACAAGGTATTGGAAAGAACGGTAGTTGCTTCATGTTTAGGCATGTGTAACGGTTGTGAGACGGCCACGTCGCGAGGACAGTCGACGAGCGATTGTCTAAGAAACTATTTTGTGTTGACGTCGCTACGGCTGCTCTCAGACAAGGTTCGTTGCAATTTCAGCATGACTTATCCTCCGTCCACACATCCCAACACCATCAGGATCCTCACTTAGGATGTCCTGATCGCCCGTGTCAGCTGAAACACCACGCCCTTATTCTGGTTTGCCTTGATCGGACACCGTCTTTGAGACCAATATGGTGGTACCACCAGGGCACAGAGGCCAGCTGCCAGCAATGCTGATTCAGTTCCAAATTGTTTTCACTGCGATCTTGCATTGAAATCACTCGACGGCCTGAACAGGCACCTGCCAATCCATATTAATGTGACCAGAGAACCACCTCCTGGAGCCCCGACCAACATCCGCCACACACACCCCACTTCCTGCGCACACTGCATCCACGTATTCAGCCACCACGTTGGCCTATTCTATCATATGCGCGTGCGCGGCATTGATCAGTAAAACAGCACAGCCCAGTTCTTCCCCACGCCACCTCACCGCACACACACAATAATGCACTTGTACTCTTCACTGACCTTCTCGATCACGAACGAATACACACTGGCAGCACTACGCACAGCAGCACACCTCACCCAGACAACACCCATTTCGTTCAAATCGGCCAACCCTCTTTAGTCAGACGAGAGGTCGTATGTGTAAAAGTGCACATTCCACCTACACCACAAGCGCGTCCTCTGAAGGAGACTGTTCCTGTGCAGCAGAAGACCAACATGTATGCTTAGATGCCGAGTCTTCACCCACGTCAGCCACCACGTCCAGTCCCAGCAACAGTTAGCTGAGAGGTCCAATTAGCCAGTTGGCGCACGGGCGAGGGAGACCGACACTGTGGAAGAATCCACCCCCGGACAAATCAGTTCATCCCTCACTAGTACTAAGCTTGATGCGTCTGAACCTACTGTAACAGCCTATCACTCGTGTCCAGAAAGGCTGCAAACGGACAGAGTAGCTCGATCCTACTTAGCACTGAGGTTCTGGCCGTAAGGTCTCCTTATTCTGGCCATTATAGTGCTTTTACTTATGTGCTGTCCGAGGCCCTTCTGAATGAGGCCTGGTACATGTGAGAAGGCGCAAGGTCCTGTTTGACAGACGTAGATAGGCCGTTTAGCAGTGTCGGTAGTCTTCACCCTGTCATGCAATCGAATTATAGAGGGAGAGAGAGAGAGACCGAGTAAGATGCGACGAAAGTCACCTCGTAAGGGCAGTGGCGATGCTCTCTATCCTCACCGGCCGGACAGTCATAAAACCTACTTCGATATTTACGCGCTCACCACGTATCCTTTTTCATATTCAGAAGATTCTGCAGAGAATCATGCTAGAAAAATCATCAGTACAGATCCCGTATTCATCTGCAACAGACAGCCTCAAATGGAACAGCTTGCTAAAGGTTTTCCGTTCATTCAAAAGCATATTCATCGTAGGCCTTCATTCAGTGACTGGGTTTCATGCTTAAGTGTGCCAATGAATATGACCTAAAGTCCATCTGAAAAAAATGTCCGTAAACAAGATAAATAAGTAAGATCCCCAGAGGCGGTTTTATTTTGAATGGTTTAATAACCACGAAGTACAGAAAATCTTTTCGGGCAATCGATTGTGAACACTGGAAGCCTCAAATTGCCCACTAACATTGCAACGACATTCCGCGATCTCCCCGTTACCAAAAAGTGCATAGTAATTTTACGGAACACAAACTGCCTTCAAACAATGAAAATGACACACTAGTGCATGCATCTGCAAGCTGCATTCGCACCTGTTATTTGCTCTCCAGTCTGTTTATATATGCTCCTGTAAAAAACTTTATTCCTTTGACGTCTCCACCCGAGAGTTGGACCGTTGTGATCGACGATGCCCACCGGTAGCTCCACAGCAGGGTGCGAGCAGGGACGGTGAATTGAGCGCCATTTAGTTTATAATGATAGTGGACTTGCGCAGCACCTACCACACTTTCTTCTCCTCCTCCTCCTCTCCCTCCTGAGCCCGGCGTCGAGACATTGTCAGGAAGACCGGAGGCGGGAGAGGATGCAGTCCCCACCCAGAAAACCAAACAAGGTGAGTTCCGTCCACAAAAACACCATCTATAACATTGCAAGGAGGAAAATTATCTGACCGAATTCCGAAATATCATTTTGCTTGTGCCGTCTTATTCATTTGGCTATTTACAGAGGGGCACACTATGTGGTTGCACAAACAGAAATTCCTCATTCCATAAGAACTTTTGAATTTTTTCTGAAAAAATGATTGTTTTGAATCAGTGTAGTATGCTTTCTGATGCTGCTTTTGAGCTTTCGTTAATTGAAGGTGGCTCATTTCAAATGGGTGTTTTGGCCGGTGCATTTTGGCTGTTGCACAAGTTAGTAGGGAATATTCATGAACTGACGTATCTTCCATGAGTTAGGCCACCTACAGTATCTATGATGTTAGTAACGCAAAAGGTTATGGCGATGCTGTTTTCCGTCTAGGAATTTACACTTCTGGTTCTATCCACGGCATGATAATCAGAAAATCATTAGACCATCTGGCCATCAAGTATACAACAAAACGTAGATACAAGCATACTTTGTTTCGTCACAGAACCTCAGAATAAAGGACTACGGTTGTGCAGGCATTTTTGAGACCTTCAATTACCACAGTAATATAATAAACATCCCGTCGTGGCTGATGGATTTCGGCCTAAATATTCATACATCACATTTCGGTTTGCGTCTGTAGACATTAGTATGTACTAATCTACTCCAAGTTCACGGTTAATTTATGAGGACATTAAGAAGCAATAATGACTCATTTATTAAAAAAAATAAAAATCTGATTGAGTAGGCGCATCTCTTCTTGTTGTGCCATCTTGTAGGGTAGGCCACATTTCAGATGGACAAATGCTATTCCTTCCCCAAAATAGAGAACGGTTCTTTATTCCTTGTCACACAAGCACTTGCAAATTCCCTCAAATTCTTCATTTACTGTTACTTTGTCCGCCACTCTAACCGCCCCCTCTCTTCACATTCCCGCAACGCACCACTCCGTTTGCGAGCACCTAGTTGTAGGGCTTAATAGATCTCCTGAATGGCTTACAAACAGAGATCCCTGAAGACAAAACCCACACTGAGCCCTTTTTGGCCGGTTAGACTTGGCGGCGATATATGCAGACCGCTAAACTCCAGAAACCTATCCAGCAAGTAAATTATTGCTAACATGGGTGTATCTATCAATTCAGTGCCTTAGAGTAACGCGTACATCAGATCAAAACGAAATCGGAGCTGGGTTCTGTACGGCATTACTTACAAATAATAAAGAAAAAGCAAAGTACAGACCTCGGCAGTGGCTACAATAAATGAGGCAGCCGAGTTCCAACACCTTATTCTGGACAATAGAAAGTACATCCGCAAACATCAGGCGTCGATTCTTGATTCGTGAGAATACTGAACAGCGTTGGTAATCATCACGCCGACGGTAATTGTAGAGGCGAGGGTCAGAAGCTCAGAATGGAAGGAGCACCGGCATCTTCCTGACACTATCACACCGTCCCCATCCTGGGTTCGCGCCTAAGTCTCTCACTTCAGTTAATCAATCTGCTCAGTCCCTGGTGCATTATAAAGGCATTCGATTTCAGCACCAGTTTTACACATTAAAAGACGCTGTCCTTAGGTCTTAACGGCGGATAAAAAAACAGCAAATGACTCGGACTAAGGTTCTGTGGTATTTGTAGTGGCCAAACTCCTGGCGCATGTTGGAACGCTGAGCCTCTATCGGCTATTTGTTCGTGCGCACCAATCGCAGTCTGGTTCTCGGCCAATGCCGGCTGTCCAAACTGACCAATCATCTTCGACACTGGCTCAGACATGACCTCGCTGACGGCTCTGGATAACTGCCCCACTGTCTCACAATGGCGGGCGCTGCTTTCGCCGCGTGGGGTGTGCTCTCGTCCAATTGTCAACTCCTACCAACCTCCTCTCTAATAGTTCTGTACAGAATACAACATCCTTCCAAATGGCGTCCCACTTCTTCTCTCGCTGTTCGGAACTGGGTCTGATGATCGTAGTGACTGGGGTCTCCCCATGGCTTATGCTGCTGCGAAATAGTCTCAGAGTTGTGGCGCAACCTTGCAGTTCTCTAGAACAAAAGTTAGATCCCACCTCACTCGGGGTACTTTAACGCTGTTTGTACACATTTAGAATGCAGACCATCCATTTCTGGCCCACTGGACGCTACACTTTTCAGGAAGGCTGGCAAGTAAACGTTGCTCTTTCCTCCATCACGGCACACCAGTCTCAATGATCAACAAACCTGAACCAGATAGGATTCTTAGAGCAGAGGTGTTACAGCGGCCAAGTTTATTGTTTGAGCTCACTTCTCCGCTGTGTATATTGCAGCCGGTGACTGACTGTTCTGAGACTGCAGTCCATCAGTCTGGTGATGAGAGATGTGTTGTGGGGTTGCAGTGTACTTTCAGGAGACCGGCCTACTTTGTTTTGAAATATTCGTCCTGTGCACGCGCGACAGCCATTATCGCACAGCACTGGCTTCGCTTAAGATAAAAAAGAACGGCCTTAACCATCTAAGCACGCATGATCGCTGCACATTGAAGGGACGTTTCAGGGTAAAGCGCCTGCATGCTGATGAAAATTTGGGGGCGGGGGTGCAAATTATGTAATTTGAGACGTTTCGATTAGGCTGCGACGAACAGAGCTTACTAGCGGAGAACCAGGCACTGGTTGAAGTAAAAGAAAGGAGGACGTGTGCAGCGCAGAAAACGTAGGTTAATGTTCGTCTTAGCACTCAAAGTTCTGCTGATATCCATCCTCAGGTACGATAGTTGCCACAAAATAAACAATCGACGTGTCGGTCAATCGAAGGCTGGGGTCACACTTCATGAGGTGTCGGTGAAGGGCTCTACACGCCGTTATTGCGACATTGAACATTCGATAAAATTTTTGGATAGCGATAGGGTGTAGGACCCACAAGTAGGTGACAACTTCAAAAATATGTCCTACAATTCAGTGTAACTGTAAACATCACTTTTTATTTACAGTTCCCATTGTTTGAAATTTCCTTCCATTCCTGACTAAATGTCAACTTGACAGCGGCGCTTTATTCAGTCCGTCATCTTTTGAAAATTGCTTTTTGTTTATTACGTCATTATCGCGTTCACTTTCCTTGCGAAATGGCAGCGTACAATAAGACTTTCGACAGGAATTTATCTAGTATCTGTGTCTTCTTGCCTATGTTTTGCCATACCCGTAAAACCCCTATACCACCATTCAACGTATGCCACGGTTCACAGGCTAGCTCAAGTAGGTTTTGGGTCCTACACCCAATCGTTGCCAAGTTTCGAAGATAAGCCCCAGTTTTCCCCCTCTGTCTTCACGCCTGAATACTTTTCAGCCTTAACTAAGGAAGCCGATTGTGTGCATCTGAATTACATCTGTTGCCTATTTTGACTAGTCAGCGTTGTCTACTGTCTACGCTCGCAGATGCCTTTGAACAACATGAAGTGTGGTTAAAATCCACTACCAGATGGCTTAGACATTTTCTAAAGCCTTAAGTTCATGTTCATCATGAAACAAGCACTGCTGGGAATTGTTCAATATCCCCTCTTTTGGTAATCTCTCTATGGACGCAATTTTCCGCAATACCTCCCATTTGCTGTCTATAGTGGTGACTCTCAATATGTTTTCAGCAGTTTCTCATCTTGGTACATTATTTTATTGCTGTTACATATACTAGCCTCTCCATTACCGGCTAGAATGCTCTGAATATATTTCCCTAACCATACGATCAGCCTTCCCATACCATTCATTTCGGAATGCAAACAAAAGATTATTCGTCACCGCAAGATAATGGTGAAGTTTTGATTGGGTTCATATAGAAAGTGTGCTAACTCATGAAATGTTAGCCGAAATTCCAAAATACGTTTTCGTTTCGAAAAGATTAATTAAGTACGGTTGTAAAATTAATCATCGTACAGAATAATTTTATAATAATTCAGTTTCCTCAGGATGCCGGCTTTGAAGGAACTTCTTTCCAACTGCATGAAAAAACTACACTCTGTAAAGAATGGCTTCTCCAGTGTCAGGTATGTTTCTCGTTGATTTTCCATGCTCTTAAAAATTCAATTATAGTTCATGGAAAACAGGCATAAAAATATTTATTCTTTTACTCATTCGGTAGAAAATTGCATTTTCTTCTATTTCTATACTCGATGAGAGGTTATAATTTGGTTTTCAAAAACTTTCCCAATTCCCGAATAATTTGAACCCGGTCTGCCGTTACTCTTGCATTCAGAGTTTCCAAACTACAAGCCGTTTGCTTTCCGCGTAAAGGGCATTTAGAGAAGATCATACGAGGTTCATAAAATTTAGCAGTGGGTTTGAGGCATACTGGTAACTTTACAAGCCGTATTGGTAAATGCAAATACATGACGTTTTATGAACGGCCATTTCACGGTATTAAAAAATCTCACAATAAGAAACTCTTTTAAACCCGAATTATACCCCTCCTTTGAGTATAAAATTGAAATAAAACGAAGTTTTCTGCCGAATGAGTAAAATAACGAACATTTTTATTTTTGTTCTCCATGAAATATAATTCAATTTTTAAGGACATCGAAAATCAATGCGAAACATTCACTTTACTTTAGCAGTCATTTTCTACAGAGCGTGGTTTTTGCATGCAGCCGGAAAAAAGTTCGTTCTAAAGCCGGCATCCCGAGTTAACTGGATTATTATAGAATTATGCTGCGAGATGATTAGTTTTACAACGCTACATAATTAACCTTTTCTAAACGAAAACGCCTTTCATAATTGTAGTTAACATTTCATGAGTTAGCACACGAACTGTACTTATGTCAGTCGTACAGTACCTAACAGATAGGATAGCATGACTGGTGTAGCTATTTCTGGTGTGTTAGTCGTACCAAACCCCGAAGTAAGCAACCCCCGAGGTTCAAACTCGCGACCTGTTGGTCAGAAGTCCAACGCCCTAACCATTGTCCATGGGGTCGTTGTCCTGAGGATTGCGATTGGCTAATATAAACAATTATAGGGGGGCGCGGCTACTATGTGGCTGCTGACGGGGTTCGAATGAGAGCTCCAAAGCATGACGGAACTAGTTAGTTTCGTAGCGCGATCAGTGAACGCTCCTCTATCATTGCAATGAGGAGATCCTTTGTCAAATTTGGAGTTAATTTTGCCAAAACTGATCCTCTTTGTATCAGCAGGCGTCTGTAATAGCGAGTTCTGAATGACTGGATTGGACAAATTCGATAGAATCAACCGGTCAACTTGGAAAGATATTCCATCTTCAAGAATGAACTCTAGCATGACTTGGAAATGTCAGGCAAACATACGTTTTTTCCTGGAAATCGAGTTAACTTAATTTATGAGGCCAAAAGTGGTGGTCAGTCATAAAAAAACCGCACTGGAGCATCGGGAAATTACAGTCGTTTCTGACCGCAAGAATTAGCATTTCTCTCGCATATTGCGGCGCTCCAGCATGACAGTGACAAAGTCCAACAAAATGAAGTTGGTACACAACCTTTTGCGCGCACAAAATGAATCCGTGTTAGAAACTAATTCAGACGAAAGCATGCTGGTTGTCTAGAATAATGACAAAAAAGGTCTGCTGACTTTGATGGACCTCATCAGCTGGTAATCCAAAGAGTCAGTATTCACAAATCTAGTCTAACCGTGCTGCGCTTAGTAGAACCTCATATAATTTGCCCATCGAGCTTTCCTGGAAAGTGCTTGTGCCGGATGTCTCTGGGGAAAAAGGCCGTCAGTTCAAAAAAGGGCGTATTTTGTAAAGTGGGAGTATCTCGCCGTTGTAGCTGCTACTTATACCTGTTTGCTCGAAATATAAAAGAGCTTTTGAAATCACTTTTTTGCCCTTTTATAGATAGTACTTCGTCCACCTGTAGCCCTTATCTATAAAGAGAAACTTTTCTGGTGGAAGTGATGCAGCATTAACCTCTCACTCCTCCTCGTAGTTCCCCCTCCTATTCCCCCTCCTTCTCCCCCTCCCCCTCCCACTCCCCCTCACTTTCTTCTTCTTCTCCTCCCCCATTCCCACCTTGCTAAGGCCGTAGGACTAAGTCAATGGAACAGGATAGGATATAGGACTCACTTTCTGATAAAATATTCTCCTAAATCTAGGCGTGACTCAACGCATGTTCGCTCTTGGTCCGAAGTGACCCCGCTTTCCTGCACTTAAAAAGCATGCGAGTTTGGGTGAGTGATAAAGCTACGCATCCTACTCATCAGTTGTCAAGGCCAAATATATCTCTGCAGTTGGCGATCTCCATCAACAACACCTAAAACGACGTACCCGTTCATATCCGTGCCGGTTAGTCCATATGTTGCACGAAGTCTGAACACCCGGGTGCCGGACTGGACCCATAAATGGAAGGGTACACAACAGACAGCAATTATGTAATTAGAGGGAGAGAGAGAGAGAAATTCGCTTTATTTTGAAATCGTAAGTTCAAAATTTTCAGCAAAAAAATTGGCTCCATTCACTGTGGGCAGTAAATAAGTAAGAGATTATTCAAGAGTCAAAGATACGATTATTATGGGGATAGTTCAAGTCTTAGCTTCTGTATTTCTGACTCTTCGCACGTAAGATAGCGCGCTAGGAATGGCAATACAGAATCTCGATAAGCCGATGTGCAACAGGATATAAGTCGGAAGCTGCGGCGCATCGGGCGGGAAGACTTCGCAGAAATAAGATCAAAATGCAAGGGATGGGTAACGTCATCTATAATCCGACCAGCAAATTGCTTGAACGTATTGAAATGTCGTTGTAGGATAGTCTCGACTAAAAAAGATAAGAAATACCAGCGGCAGAAGAGAGCATTCGAAGGACTCGTTTCAAAATTAAAAGATCCCTTTTTAGCTAAGCAGGAAAAATGACAGGGGAGCATACTGACCATACTGACAACACAGGTACTAGCTTAAAGCTCGGACGCGCCTGTTTCGCCGATCTTCTGCCGCTGCCTGACGCAGCTGCGAGTAGTTCGGCTCATTAGTGGCTCCCCCAACTTTCCCGCCTGCTGCCTAACCGCAATGCGGCAACTGAAGTCATTGGTGAACCCTAACCCACCAATCCAAGTCCCCTCACGTAATGAATGGTTGACCAAGGTACTGGTGGCGGTTTGCGAGGCCAGATGAAAGTCTGAACTATATGCCCCTCTTGAGACCGCATCAATGCTATTCGTTCAACCTTTTTGTCATCCCCTGCTCCGACTGATGACATCGCTGCCTTTTTAAGCGATGTGTTCGCAAGGCGATCTATCCAATGTTCGTTGTTATCTCTCACTATTCTCTCATTCTACCTTTAACATCTTGCAATATTTTTTCATATTTAAAAAAACTCCGCCTATTATTGCTGGTTTCCATGACGCCTGCCTCCCATTCCCAAAATACGAAATTTGAAATCAGCTAATTACATTTGGAATCCATGGTATATAAAATGGCCTAGGATGGTTGCACACAAACTCACTCAAAGGTGATTTTGGCGCGAATGACCGATGACACGTCTAACATGATTATAGCCTGTCAATGTCCGTTTGACCTCCCAGGGGGCTGAATGCGTTCGAAATTTGTTCACCAGAAGCGGTCGCCACGTGATTCTTGGTCTGGTGGTGGGCTTTAGGGTCGTCTAGTCAGAGGGCAAGCCTTATAGGTCGCACCATGTGCCTCATGCAGGTGATGGCTGCCGCGCGGTTAACAACGGGCACCCAAATCTCATCCGTGGCTCCCCGAAGCTAGGCTCTGCTAAGCGGTCACACCGACGGGTCAAATCAGATGAGGGTATCCGCGGGATAGAGCCAGGGTGTTCCGAAATTCGGAGTTTGGGTACGACTGGCTGACGACAGCTAATAAGCCAGAAATGGCCATCCCAGTCTCCCTTGTCTTTGTTGGTAATACCATTCTGCCTATATCATGCGGTGCTGTGCGGCTGTTGGTTGGGCTCGAGGGAGAGAGAGAGCCCGTAAGGCACAACGGGACGAGTGAGTCCCGTAGAAACGATCGGTGAGCTTCCCTCTACCGTAGCATCCGATGTTTTTTTGTGTTTCCAAACCATCTGATTCTGTTCCCCTTCCCACTCCCCCTCCTGCCGCCCCCCACACATCCGAAAAGTCCTGTGGAGAGGGCGACATGCAATCTCGTAGATGGCCCAGGCCAATTCAGATCGCTCTCCACTAAACCAAGATGTGACCCGCAGTTGAGTTCTGCAGCCGTCTGGGATGTCTCAACAGCTCTGTTTGGGGGTAGCACTGCTCACTCCCTCGCGGGGAAGGAGCTAAAAAGCGCTCTAAAAAATGCGGGATCTACGTCATCCATAAGTATACCGAAACTCGTACATGCAGTGTTTATTCTCATTTAGGCAATCCACAAAACAACCGGTCGGAAAGGAGGACAGGGCTAGTCGCTCGAAAAATAGCGCGCTACAGGGTGGGCAACGCTGCTCTCAGTGAGACCAGCTACTCCGAACAAGACCAATTGGAAGAGTTGGGTACTGGCTACATCGTTTTCTAGGGCGGCCGCTCAAAGACAGAGCGATGGCGTCACCTTTGCCATCCGGAGCGACATTGGAGAATAACTATCCAGTCTGTCACAGAACATCCACGATCGTTTCAGGAGCCTGTGTCTGCCTCTTCCGGGAGCCAAATTTGCCACCATCATCAGTGCCTACGCCTTCTAATGACCGGCTCCAACGGGACAAAAAACAAATTCTACGAGGAACTGCAGGCCCTCCTGACAACTATACCCAAGGAGGACTAGCTGGTTGTCCTTGGTGACTTTAGTGCTCGCGTCCAGACGGACCACGCTGTCTGGAGCTGGGTGCTTCGTTCCCATGCAACGGCCTCCTCCTTCTGCAAACCTGCACAAAACACTACCTCCTCCTCCTCCTCCTCCTCCTCCTCACCAGCATCTTCGTTCGCCTTCCGACCTGGAAGAAGGCGATCTGGATGCATCCCAGCTCATGGAGCTGGCGGATGCAGGACTACCCTTCCCCAGACGCGAGATCAACAGGACGTGTTGGTGATCAAGAAGATTTTTGGTACCGAGGACTGGAGAGATCACTGACTTGCCAACTCTAAGATGAGGCTTTGACTGTCACCCCAAAAGAGACAACAAGGTAAATGACCACCAGGTAAGTTGAATACTGTTCCGTTAAATTTGTCTGCTCACCACTTCGAGTTCAGCAACCAACAACCTAGCGACTGGAAGATCTGCCGGCCTCAGACGATAACGCCTCCGTGGATACACACTGGAGTCAACTGTGGAACATAACCGACTCCGCCGCACCGGATGTTCTTGGACGTGCATGTCACCAAGAACAGGACTGGTTCGACGACAACGACACAGACATCAACAACCTACTTGCCGAAAGCAGCAGGCGAGACCAAGCCTACATCGACCTTCGTACCGACGCAAACAAAGCGACCTTCTTCGGATGTCACCACCTTTTGTAGAAACGGCTGTGAGAGATGCAGGACGCCGGTGTGGGTCACTAGGCCGAGGAAACCCAAGAATACGCGAACCACAACGAAATGGAGAACTCCTCTGGATGCCTAAGGTTCCCGTGTCAAGGAAACCGCACTGCTGCACAGCAACGAGGGAACGACGCTCTTTAAGGAGAAATCGCAGATTCGGAAGAACCGTCCTTAGCCACCCGTTCATGATGCTCGACGCCACTATCGATCGACTCCCTCAAGTTGAAACGAGCAAAGACCTGGACCCCTCGCCTTCCTTTCCAGAAATAATCAGGGTCGTATAGCAACTATCCAGCGGGGAAGCACCGGGATTCTGCGCGATCCAGGCGATGTGGCACCAAGGAAAAGTTCTTCAGCATTTCAAATATATGACTGTCGTCAATCTTTACAAGTAAAAAAGAACCAGTACCCCCGTGATAATAACAGAAGAACCTCGCTGCCCACAACTACCGGGAAGATCTTCGCTCTCATTCTCGGCAGTCATCCCGACGATCATCTGGACCACGGAGTTCTCTCGGAAGGCCAGTGCGGGTTTAGAGGACAGCAGCCATTGGCCAAAAGATAATACAACGACCGCCCCCTCCCTGTAAGTGGCACTTAAATAAAAGCAGTGGACACATTCACACAGCATTAAGGTCGACAACGAAGTGGCCCACCGGATCTTCAAGTCCGGTCAGACTTTCGGCGGGCCTCAGTGTAGAATCAACATGGTCCACATCTCAACATCAAACTACAGATTACAAAGGTGGAACGTTGACGGCATTGATATATGGATCGAGGACCTGGAGAGTCTACGAGAAACAAGCGCGGAAACTCAACCACTTTTGCCAAGCGGACAGACGGGATTTTGTACACAGAAGTCATTAAGCAAACCGGAATCCTCAGCATCCGCACCAAACGGAGGCACATTCTGCTGTGTTTGAGCGGACACCTCGCGAGGACGGATGACGAGCATCTAACTAAGCGATTCTTTGCAACGATGTAGTTACGGGTGCTTACCGATAGGGCAACTAGAAACGACGCCACAATGGCACTCTGAAAACATACGGTCATTGCAGATCAACCCGAAGACTTAGGAGTGCCTCCCTCAAGTCGACCGGCTCATAAAGTATCGGTGTAGACCGAAACCTCAATCTAGGAGGTGAACAGTATTCCCCCCGCCAAAGCCAAAAGAGAAGCCCGCAAGTCTCAGTAACCCCTGACCTGCTACGCAAACAACTGACCTCATCCAACTTTTTCACGCCGTCAACGAACATTCCGCGCACGGATCGGCCTCGCAGGGTATCTCCAGACTCTAAGTAACAACGACCCGACAACTCCACCTGCTGCCTTCACAAACGCCCCCAACCTTGACGGCAATGAGAGCACACCCGACGTCCCGTCAAGCGCCACCCTCATCACCAGCAATGTCGACTCGATTCCTACCTGTCCCCGTTGCAATCGCACCTTCACCTCACACATAGGTCTGGTCGATCGTTTGCGAGTTCATCGCACGGTGATCGGCAAGCCAATGTCAGGAGCCTCGAAATACAATCTCCGCATGTGTCTTCACTGTCCACACTGCTCACACACATTCAGCCATCGCATTGGCCTACAAGGTCGCATGCGCCCCCATGGTAATCTGCGACAGACCACCGCAGATCAAGCCTCACGACCCCACATACCCCACCGCCACAAACACCACATATTAACCAGACCCCACTACTCACCACAGGCACGGAATAAGCATATCCCGACTAAGTGGGAAGCACGATCTTCAGCTCCTCCTCCACGTAGCCCCCTACTACTCCAACGCATATAAGTTCTGAGGAAGCACCCCCTATGAGAAAAAATGGAGGCGCGGGCAGACGGACCGTCTAGCATTGTCAGCCACAGTACCCAAACACCATATCGGACAAGTGGCCGACTCGAACAGTGGAAGGATGCCTGGAAGTCGGAGGGCAGCGTGAGGTCGACGGCCTCAGCACAGGGATCAGTTACGCTGTCCTGATGCCAAATGTAAACGCAATGTGAGCATTGCTGAATATGCTGCAATCGTTAGAGGGGAAGTGGCCAAAGCTAAAACAAAAAGGCTCAACCTGATGTTTCGGTTTAGAGGTAGGGTTATTTTGTGGTTTGGGTTAGTGTAAGGCTGAGAATTGAGTGTATGGTTAGGGTTTGCGTTAATTTTAAGGGTTTCGGTTAGAGTTGGGGTTCGGATTGCGGTTTAAGTCTGCGCCTAGTGTTGATTTTGGGGGTCAGGGTTGGTGTTAGGGTAGGGTTGCTTACCTTTAAGGTTAGGATCTGGGTCAGGACTTAAGGTTAGGGCTAGGACTTGTGGTAGGTTTACGGTTAGATTTAGTGTTAAGTTTAGAGTTGGCGTTAGGTTTATAATTACGTTAAGGATCAGGTTTACCTTTGAGGTTGCGGTTATGTTTACGATCAGGTTTGGGGTATTGCAGCCCCTCGTGTCCCTTCAGCCAGGTCTTTTGCGGGGATTCTAGGTTTCCTTTAATCTCGCGGCGAATTTGTCATACATCAGGTTGTCTTCTCCGTTTCAGCTTCTGCCGCTTTCGTCACTAACGATTTCAGCATCCCTCTTCGGCTTACTCTACTTTCAATGCTCACATTGTGCTTACAGTTGGGACCAAGACAGTGCAGTCGACCCTTGTCGCATATTCCCCACCATAAACAATATGGCGTGCTTAAATCTCTCACGGTTCACTAGCAGTTGTGGTTTGGACGGCTGCCAACGGACGGGATAACTTGATCCTCCTCTCTGGACGAAGAGTCGGCCTCTATGGCACTCCCGCTCAGTTTGGATCCCGGCCGCTCCACCCCCATTCTTGTTGTGTAAAATCCTAGTAAATTTTGTACACGAACCAGATGTGAGTAGCATGCGTGGGTGGACTGGTCGACTTTGTCAGTCACTACGCCCGATTTCGCCTCTGATCTTCCTGGGTACGTCTTGACACTGGGCTCGGATGGGTGGCGGAGGAGAGAGTGTGGTAGAAGCAGCGTAAGTGTACCA